TCGGCAGGCTTTTACTTTGGAGTATTCATCCAGCTCTCATCACAGTAGCTGGATGAAAACATCTTCAATCTATTGGCTCCAACAGGATTCTCCTGGTTTCTCTCCTGAGACTCTGAATTGGAAATCCTCTGAGTTGTGCTGGCTATACACACTTACGTTGTACGTGACTTTTACACTTCAAAAGGCTTCTTGTGTGTTTGTTCTGTGTTTCAGCTGGTAGGACTTGCACAGCTTGCAATTTACCACAGTTCACGCAAACACAGCACAAAAAATTGAAGTGTGCTAATTACCACTTTAAATCCTTCTTTTAAACCTCAAGACACTCAAAAGACTGTCTACTGGGTACATAACTCTCATATTCTCCTTCAAGAACTGCCCCTGTGCCTAGTCTACTCCTGCCTTGGTAAGGCAAGGCAGGGGAGCAGGCAATAACTTAACCCACCACAGGGTACGTAAGGCAACACTATTAAGAACTTGCATTCCACCCATTTTCAGGTTCTGGTAACACCACAACAGACTGTCTTTGAGAGCAAGAGGAACCTTGCTACCACAGTGAGGACAGGGAACAGCAGAAAAGTTCTCAAGCAGCTGGGTAGAAAGAGAAGCTGCAGCAATGCATGGAGGGCTTGGTAAGCGATGGAGAGGACATTATAAATGTTCTCTCAGCCCTTGGAACTAACTACATGCAACCAGGTACTGCCTGCAAGGCCATAACATGGACTTTAACAGCACAGGCATCCTAGGCCCTGTCTGGGAGAACAGAAAATCCATGACACACCTGGTAAGGGCAAAACTTGGTGTTGAGTCATGAAGAGGAATAGCATCTTGCATCTCAAAGCCCCAAGGCTCACATGCACCATCTTCTTCCACTTCAAACAAGGACTCTTTCTCCAGAGCTGTCAAATCTGCCAGTATCCAGTATACTGACACCAGGCAGTACAGCTCTTGGCTTTGCTGAAACACCCGGCCATAGAGTTGAAAAAGGAGATCATAAAGAAGCCAGAGGGCTGCTAAACTGACAGATTAAACTCCCAATACTCAGAATACCATACTTCTGGTCCACACGGGGACTGTCGAGATGAGGCAGAACAGATCCAGTCTGCTTGACCATGCTAACAATCATTAAGATTGCAGTGGAAAGTTGAATAGCTGGAAGTTCACAAGTGAAGAAACACACATCAAGGGGTTTTGGCAAGCTTTCCCAGCCCTGCTGTACAGTAAGTGGAAGGGGGTCCCACCCATAGGCCTGAAGCAGCTAACTAGATATGGGCAATGCAGGTGCGTAACAAATACAAACCAACATCACGTCTTCACACAGCAGGGCAAATTTTGTTTCTCCCCACCTACTGATAACATACCTTGCAGCTGTAACATTTGCAGATGCCAGACAAAAGGGATAATAAAATATATTTAAAAAAAAACCACATTCCAATCCAAATGTTTTTAATTTATGAAGATGCTTCCACATGGTATGATCTTGATGTATTGCAGTCTCTGAATCTAAAGCTGCCAAACCCCAATTCCAACACCCAAGCCTACGTGTCCCCACCACAGTGCAGCCTGGCACAAAGGGAACAGAATTCCATGTCCTAACAACAGATCTGTCCACAACCCTAAGGGACAGGACAACTTGACTATTGTTTTCAGTCTATCTAGCCACAGCGGGTCTGCTGTGAAAAACCGTGTATTTCAAGACAACTGCAGCAGAAGCTGCAAGTGAAGTGTGGCATGGTGCATAATCTTAGTGCCTGACAGCACACACCCAAAAATCTCAGGAAAGTTTTCACCAGTGTTTTAAATTACATGAATGAAGATCTGCTCTCAAACATCCACCATGGCCTATAAAGCTAACAACTTGCAAGCTAATAGACTCCTGATTTGAAATTGGGATGAATTCATACCAACTTCCTTGCAAGTTGGGGAAATGAAGTGACGGCAGATGAAATAAATCTTTGCCCATTTAGGCAAAGTCCTTGAGGCAGTTGCCTATGAAGGAGTATAATTTAACCTGCAGGCTATACAAACTTGCAGCCACCATCAGGAAAAAAAAAAAAGTTAAAATACTAGTGCACGCTGGTAAAAATGACTCTGTACTAGCAGAAAGCTGTTTTGAAGTACAAAAAAAAAAAACCCACAACCCACTCTTCTCTAAACCACACAGGTAGAAGTGTTAAATACTAATGGAGGGAACGGCAAACTACGTGGAAAGATGTAGTAATGTTATTATGGATGGTACAATGGGCATGAAGATAAAGCAGCAACGAACAGAACAGCAGGAGTCTCCATAAGAGACCAGAGGTGCAGCATTCAAAAAGCAGTAGTTCCCACAGCTCCACTCAAACCATAGAGATAAGAAACATTGATGTTCTCTTAAACTGCTGACAGAACTCCTCTTCCCAAAGAAAACCAGCCCTATTCCAGGTCTGCCGGCTAGGTTAGGTAGAGCTAGAGGAACTAGTTGTTTGCAGGTGCCTGAAGAAAGCATTTCTTAGGTGACTTTGTTACCACACCTACAGCCTAGAAGGCAACTGTAGTAGCTGACTTGGGTATGACATCCTTAGCAAAAGCCAAGACTGATACCAACACACAACTGGTGGACCCCAAAGCGAGGAGTGCAAAGAGAACACAAATCTGAACAAGCAACAAAGGTAACAGTCCTCACGAAAGGAAGTTGTCAGCACCAAGACCTGTAACTGCAGGCTTACCATTAGAGACCATAAGAAGATATGAATGTCTTGGACCCACTACAGCAACTCAACTCCCTACTTCCCCGTGAAGCAATACTCAGCCCCTGAAGGTCCCCCATTGACCTGGTCCGTGCAAGGACACTGCTCAAAACTGCAGAACACTGATACCAAGGAAGGGTGAGGTAAGTTTCATTTGGGCTTCTTAGAAGCAGCAGCAAGTGAGTAAGGAGACAGACCATGCCTACAGGATCATTTCAGCCTCCTTTCTCTATCCTTCGAGTACCCGTCTTCTAGCCAGAAGAGATGCAGTTGAAAAAGGTGTGTCTCAAGCTAAACAGCAGGCAGGCCATTATCATGGATTAGCATTCAGCTTTGGCAGGACAGCTATGCAACATGACCCTGAACCAACCTACTTTCTTAAGGCCTCCAGCAAGTAAGAAATTAAAAGAAAGCCAGAGCTACAAAATTACCATAGAAAAGGTCAAAGTAGAAACAAACAGAACTGATGACACTAAGTCTGTAATCAACAATTTAATTGAAATGGCAAGGCTCTCTCCTACCCTGACACTCTTATGTACCAGAAGATTTCAGAAGTTTTATTGTAGCTGATTAAAAAAAAAATAACAATCCTGTGCGAGGCTCCACATGTAAAAATTGTATTACTTACAGCCAGTGAAGAGACTTTGAAGGGACTGCAATTTTTTTTTAATCAAGAGACTTCTGGTTTCAGAAAAACAAAAAGGTTAGCAATCTAGGGATTTAAGAAGTACACTTTAGGTTGCATGGACTCTGGAGCAGGAAAACTGGGCAAAAATTTATTCTAATATACATGACATAGCATGACACAAACCATCAGATTAGTCTTCTAACCTCTATTCAGTGTTTAACATTAATTCGAATTAAAGTTAGCCTTTTATTAACAGTGAAAGACTGCAATCAGTATTTGGAAAGCATCCCACAAAATTGCTAAACTGTTTATTTCATTGACAAAAAAAAGGTATTACTCTTCTGTGATTTCTGTAATGAAATTATTTATCACGTTAACCAAAAATTCTACACAAAAAATATTTTTAACAAAGGTTTTGCTATCATTGGTTATACATACATTACATAAATTAAAAAAATCATTATTATTTAATGAAAAAAGGATGAAGCGCCTTATGTGCTAAAAAACTAGATACCATATAAAAAAAACTAATTTGTTTAAGGATGGAAAACCAAGTCTAGTATCAGAGGTGGATCTGCCAAGGTGGTATCTTCTATCCACTGTGGACTGTATTATTGTACCTGAGGGCTCCCCAATTCTCCTGGTGCTGCTTCTTGCCCATTATATGCTGCATTTTTACATTCTTCATTCGGCAACATGCAGCTTCAATAATTCCTACAAAACCCCAGTCTGCTAACAACGCTGTCCAAGAGCAACACCCAGAGGCTAAATATATTGCTACAGCAACTCTGCACATTTTGACCTGTTTCTTTCTGAGAAGAAAGGAAAACCTTCACAAAGATAAGCAACAATTTCCTGTAAAAATAAAGAGCTGACAAAACTCTTTCAATGGTAACATTAACAGCAAAGTGTTGCAGGCAAACAAACCTGCTCAAGAAAATCAGACCTTTAGAGCTATTGTAAACAATGTTTAAGACCAGATGATATATACATACACTTATGTAGAGCAAATAAGCAGTAGTTTTTGCAAATGTGCATATAGTATTTCGGTTGGCAGCAGCACTGCATCTAGAAGGATGCCTGCTCTCTAGAAAGCTTATTCTGTCTTTCCGCATTTGAAAAACGCAAAAGAGGTAGGCTGCTCTCCATTTCCGTTACCAGTTGCCAAAGCAGTACTTTTTTGTTTTTTCTTAAATCTTGAAGGCAATTGCTGTAGGAACAACTTGTCTATGCAGTAACAAAAAAAACCTCCAGCAAAAAGACAATGCCCTGAAGCATCTTTGAGAGGAACATGTTACCTGGAATCACACCAAGAGCGACAGAAAACTGGATACAAAAACAAGTCACTAAACCTTCATCTTAAAGATCTCTGGCATCTAGCAAGACTACTCTCTGTAAATTTAAAGCCTACATAATGGACAAAGAAAAAGGCTGACAAAGAGCACAGTCAGTAACACCACACTGACATCCCCAAACACTTATTTAGAATAAAATGTACTTAAAACACAGTGAAGATTGTGTAATCACAAAACATGACTGCACCTACCAAACCTACCAATATTTTGAGATTTCAGATCAGGGCAATGATTTCAAAACCAAACAAAACCAGAAGTCTCAGTCAAACACCTGATGGAAAAGTTCCTCATCTATTGAGTAGGGTTTGCTCCATTCTCTTCAGTTAATTGCATTATTTTTTTTTCATCTGTCTTCTCAGACTCATGTTCTTCTCGTGGCTCATGTTCTTCACCTGGTTGTGGTGAAACTGGAATCGCATCAACTACAAGGAAGCAATCATCCTTCAGCACCTGCTCAGCTGTCAGTCTGTTACAGCAGAACAAATTCAGGAGAAGAGATTTAACTTTATCATCCTACAAACAGAGGGAGAAGGATTTCATCAGTAAGCAAAGCAAACTCTATTACAAATAGCAACCAAGTATTTGATGAACATATCTTCAAGTGCTTAGGGCCCAAAACTCTTACAAAAGATTGTACCGTAGCATTCCCAACGGTCAGCAACACTTGACAGTCATAGTCCTCATTAACAACAGAATAAAAGCAAGCGTTCAGCACCAGGTCTGTGAACCCTGGTGCCGGCAGATTTCACAGAAGAGCATGAGTTATAATATTTTAAGACATCAATAAATTAGAGAAATACTGAAGTTGATCTTTCTACTAAGAAGGAACAGAACAGGTGCCATTCACTTCTACAACTTCATCTTTTAACTTCTGCCATATTGCTTTATCTCTCTACAAGAGCACAGTGGGGAAAAAAAAAGAAAACCCAAGTAAGGGGTTTTAAATCAACAGCAGCTATTTTGCTATCAACCCATCACTTACACTTAGGCTCTTTGAATTTATCAGAAGGGATTACATGCCTAAATGCTTAGCACATTAACAGTGCCGGTCTCCATACACAAAACATGAAAACACAGCTGCTACACATATGCATAAACATCAGCTGTTGAGGGAGGAAGAGCACACACTGGATTTGGACAAGGGGACTGCAAGAAAGACAATCTCAAATGCTGACCTAGAGATCTAGGTTACCAAAACTTAACGGGAACATAATCTTTCCATAGAAAAGCTCGCTTGTTCAGTCTCCAAGGCACCAACACCCCTGACCAGGGTCACCAAAACAGCAAAGCACAAGACACCTCTCACCTATCCCCATTTCACCCAGACAGAAGAATCACTGTGATACAAAGGAATGTACACAACTGGTCAAAACCTTGAAGACAGAAACAAGCAGGCAATTTCCAACTCTTCCACCAATTACCAGAGTGACTATGGAGAATTAGCCACTCTCCAAATAATCTGAAATCTGGGTGAAAAGATGAGATCTAAAACCAGTTGGTTTTACAGTCATAAAGGATTGTTAAATGTTTATAAAACATTTAAAATGCTCAAAGGAAATTCTTTAGGTTAGGAAGATCCAAACGTGCAATGAAATACAGGAGTAAACCCTGATTACGCATTTCCTCTGCAAAATTAAAGTGAAGAAAGTCTGAGCATTTAAAGAGCTTGAAAAGCTTTGTACTTGTATATTCGCATTTCATGATACTATCAAAAGTCTGTCAACAACAAATATCCCCTTCTCACCATCTTCTTGCACTAAGGAAACTGAAAACTGATTCCACAAGGAATATTGCTATAGGACAACAATTCATTGTTTTTACTCCATTTCATTGTGTTTGCTCTTACTTTTTTTTTTTTTAATACGCAAAACTGGATGCTGAAACACAATGAACACTGAACCACGGCATGGCTAAATGAGCAGCTAAAGATCAGATCTCTAAATTTTGCTTTCCCTCAACAATAACCTAACATTAATATCCCCGTTTTAAAGCTTAATATTATTTTCCTGTGGCAATTTTACATTTGCTGAAAACAAGAATTTTACGAGTTGCAAGGGTGCAATTCCTCTGGGCATGAGACTGAGACGGAAGGGAAATTACCAGTCTGTCAAGAGCCTGCAGATGGGCACGGAGATTAATTCTGAATAAGCTGATTATAGATAAAGCACTTAAAAGCAAAATAGATTTTCCCCAAGAACTGGGACAAGGATTAACAGCCAGAGGTCTAAAAGATTCCCCAAGAAACAGCTGAAAGATATTTATTAGTACTACATTTCAAAGTAAAACCCTCATGTGCACTGCAGGTAGCACAGATTGCTTTCCAGCGGACTTTGGTGGTTGGTGCACGTGCATTGCACAACACATCCAGGATGAATCCTTAAAAACTGCCAACAATGATATATTGATTAGAATTGTATCACCTGACAAGGTCAAAAATCAAATGCTGCTTCTTTCATCAGGGAAAAAAGCTAAAGAAACATGCTCTCATAAAAAGCTGTAAAATCAATTATTAGCACCAGTAATGAGCAATAATGGCTAAATTCATTAATTGTCTTGAGATAAAGGCAGCTGTTTGCACTTCAGAAGATACCTGCTACAGAAGTATAATACCCTGAAAATGCCATTTAAACTTTGATTTGCATACTTCAGACCTTATTTGTAAAACATTATCACAGCAGAAATTTTATGGAAAACAGAAATGAACCAACTCCTATTTATAATGTCCCAAGAAATCTTTTCTACTTCCTTCAACAATTAAGTTTCCCTTATGCATGAGAGAAAGTTAATTTTTCACTATCTGCAGATTACTATGCCTGATCCTGAATGACACACTGGGCAGACGGTTCTCTACAAGTTTTGTGGAATACATTTAAAACTCCCTAGTTAGCCCTAATGGTGAATCATGAAGGATTCTTCTGGATCACACTGGATCTTCTTTCCTATATTACTGTATGCTTCATGAGATTCATTTAATTTTTAGTAAGAAAGCAAGCAACTGTAATGAGCAATAAGAAATACTATTTACAGGATCACCTCCCTGCTCAAATTCTGTGTTTTATTCTTTTATTTTCCATGATAGTGTCACACTGGAAATAATTTTGCAGAGGGATTTGATACAGTCCTGTGCTTTATCAGCAATGCTTTCATCACTGGAGAACACTGTTGAAATGAAGTTATTAAAAGATGTACTGTAGAGGATAAGTCATCTAATAAAACAAGATTATTTACAGTTCTGTGTTATGCAGTGATACACAAGCTACCCTGCCTGGACACTGGAACTGCTACAGCTGTGTTAGTCTGGTACTGTATGATGACAGTTTCTTAACCTAAACACAGGAAACAGGACACACTAAGCTCATAATGAACACAACTCTAGTAATTTAGCCCCATGTTTTAATAGTTATCTCTGCAAAGTGGGCAAATCATTAATACACAAATATAACCAATAAAGAGGGATTTATTATTTGGGTTTTTTTCCCCTTGACAAAACAACCCAAATTTATCTGACCAACAGCAATTCTACTGCTTTGTTTTTTACTTTTCCATTTAAAGTATTTTCGACTTTTCTGGAAAATACAGGGATTAACCTCTACCTCTTCCCTACAGTCCTTAGACAATTCTACCCCTAACCTAAGACTTCACTTAAAAGCTAAACAGAGTCACATGCTTGCAGGTTTTTTAATAACAGTATAAAGCTTGATGTAAGGAGTTTCATGGCCTTCTCAAATCTAGTTAAAGCAGTAAGGTCTCTCTTAAAGTAAGATCAACAGAATAAGCATGGTATGAGAAGTAGTCCATACCAATTAAAAAACACAAGGGCAATCCACTCAAGGGAGATGGGAGGCATGCAGGACAAGAACGAAGTACTCAGTAACTAGACAGGCAGAAGTACAGCAAAAAGTATGAAGCAAAAACTAGTCTGGAAAGGCTAATGATTTGAAAAAGGTCCATAAACCTCACAGTGAATTTCTTTAAACTATATATGGTGGCAAGTCTTTTGTTATTCCAACTTTTATAAGGAGGAAAGGGAATCACCTGCAGCAGAAGTAGAAGAGGTTGAAAGCAGGCAACAAAAAAGGTCTTAACTCCTGCCCAGAAGGCTGAAAGCTTATGGGAAAGAGAATTACACAAGAAAATAAACCCAAAGTAAGACAAGTGCTCAGGTAACTACGGCATGCAGAGAGAAGGCCATAAGATTATCTGCTTATGATTAACATCCACGAAATAGGTAAGTTAGCAAAGGATCAAATTCAAAGTTGGAGACCTAAGTTGGGAAACATTAAGGCACACAGGTCTACTTCTTATTCTCAGAGTCACTGAGACACTGGGCAAGGATAAGCTTCGAAAAAGGGGACTGAAAATACAGTTTGAGGTGACAAGAGTTGCTGGCATACAGTAGACAGAGAACCACAGTTGAGAGTAGAAAGAATGAAAGCGGCAACACAAATTCATATCATGCAGGGTGCACTTATACCTGTGCATTTGTTTCTGAGGCATAGGAAAGTTTGTTTCACACACACAAAAAGCAACCCAAAGAATGAAGGGCACAATACACTTCTACAATTGCATTTAAGTTATTAAAATGGAATTTGGATGTTTTATTAATGGTCAAGCACTGTGCAATCATTACATTGGAAGACGGATGAACAAAGTCAACTCCACTGACTTCAGAAAAGATAGGTTCCTAATTCAAATACCTCCTTTGAGGCTGAATGTCAATGACTTATTCCCCAAGTCTGAAACTTGGTGTCATTCAATTAATAGTTATCTGTGAAGAAGTTGCTCCTCCTGAGGTTGGAGTTAAATATTAAGAAAACTCTGGGGTTTTCTACCTTCTCAAACATCATTTTATTTGTGCATGCTATTTAGAATTATCCAAATAGTCAACTAAGAACATCTTCTCAACCCAGAACTTACAACAAAATGTTTGACTTTAATTAAAATATTAATTAACCACCTCTAAACAAGAGCAGTCTAATCTTCCTCATCTGACAATTAACATACCTTGACAACCACATCCACTTCAGGTGTTCCATCTTCTTTGATGCTAAACTCCTGGTTTTGAACACAAAGCTGTAAATGAAAAGATACATAAGGCGTAACACTGGCGGATATTTTTCCCTTCAGTTTAACAAAACCAAGTATCAGTCAAGACGACTCCAGGTTTCAAGTGAAAATGGATTGTTATGGGAAAATGGTAGCGAAAGGCTTTTTTCCTAGTTTCACAGCAAGGTAAAACATGCAAGGGGTTCAAGTTCCCTTTACCACAGAAACAAGGGGAAAAATTTAGTATCAGAAGAAACTTTTAGAGGTCAAAAGAAACAGACTTTTAAAAATATGACTCAAAGTCCACACCCAAGCTGTACCTTTAATTATATAATCCTCTTTAAGAAATGCTGAGGGGTAAAAGTGCACTCTAACAAACGTGAACCCTGTACCCATATACAAAGTAAAATTTCCCCAGTCTTTCCTATTGCTTAGAACCATTCCCAAATACAGCATTTTTCAAAACCCTGCCTGCAGGTTAAGCCAAAAATGCCTCTATTCTGAACAACTACATAGCAAAAGAAAGCGTGTCAGTGTCAGTGCTGGGCTCGTGACGCAGATCAGCAGAAAACTCGGAAAACCGCTGCCTCTATTTTAGAAGTGGCACTGCTGTTTAATGAGGGAGAACACAATTTCAAATGCCCAACACGAAACTGGCAACTGTTGAACATAATACTGACACTTGATGTAGAATTTTCCATCAAATGATCAATACAACACTAAGCCCCATTTGAAGATCAGTTACATGTGGATTAGTCTGAAATTCAGCTGGCAAACTTGGATGACGTTTCATAAGAATGCCAGTCTTTGCTGCATCCCAGATATTCCCTTCAAGGAGAGCCAGCCATGTGTAAAACTGTCTTTGTTTGTTTTTTTGTTTGTTTTTTTTTTTTTTTAACTGAGATAACAAAAAATTTTTTCTAGAACGGCTGTAGATCTGAGTAGCAGTACTGAAAGTGTTCTAACTAAATTGTACCACATTAATTATAAACATCTACGATATTAAGCTACACTTTAGTTCATCTGCTTCAGTAGAAAAATTACTTATTTTTAAGCAGTTGCTTCCTAAATTGGGAATAAAACAGAATGAAGAGTGAATTTTATATGAACCGGCTTAATCTCCTCAGCACAGGTAACTGACAGTGGCTACCTATCAACTTGCAGTTTATTTCTCTTTTAGGAAGTGCTTTTAAGATGCTACAGCACAGAAGGGATTACTGAAGCCACCACTGTGCAGCTGATGGCACTACCACACCATTTCCCACTAAGACACCCATGTACCTTGGAGCTCCAACTGGTACTCAGTGAACCAGCTCCAATATATCCAGCATTCATGCAAAATCACTGCCTGCGAACATCAGCACTTGCTGGGTAGCTTGTGGCTTTTCAAGTCAGAAATTTGTAGTTTTCCCATTTAGAACACGCAGCACTGACACCATAAGGTGGGGAGCCAGCAATACAGCACGAGAAGACAAAAAGGAGATGGAGGGGATGTTGTACAACATACCACCTAACACAGGAAAGTAGATTGCTTTCTCCTCCCTGGCATAACACGCACTAAGAAACAAAACACTTATCTAAGCACTATTGACAGCAACAAAATATATGACTGTCTCATCTTTGCCTTCCTCTTCCCTCTCTTTTGATTTGGGTAATTCGTCAGGGGCAAGGTCACAAAAAAAGAAGAAAAGGCTCACAAGGAACAAACAGGAAGTGCAGTAAGAACTGAAAATCTACAGCATGAGGAAAAAAAAGTATTTTTTGTTCATACTGCTGTACAAATTACATCGTATATTTTACAGAAAAATGCACTGTCTTCTGCCCAAAATCGTAACTCCTATTCGTTCCACGCTTACTGCTCAGTTAAAAATACAAACACTTATTTCGCAAAAATAGTTCAAAGCAGAACTTGGAGATAACGTTTATTGCTCTTTATAAGCCTGCTACAGTTCCGTAATACTGCTAGAAACTCTCCACAAGCCATAACATATAACGTACCCAGAACAGAAGGCAGCCATAAGCATACATGTCAGAGGCTGGAGAAGCTGGCTGTCCCATTTTCAGTTCAGGAGAAACTAAGCTCAAGGTACTGACAACCATAGTGTTTGCAGCAGCACGCTGTTCCTATGGAGAAAAAAAAATTATGCCTGTAATTTCAAGCAAGACCAACAGCACATTGAAGCAGATGTATCTCCCTCTCCCTTTTAATATGTCAGGCAACTTTACCATTGAGTTCTGTGCTGACCCAGTCTGAAATGTGAAATCCTCCTTTACTGATCAAAAAAAGTGGTGCATAAAGGAAAAAAAAGAGATAACGTGACACATTTATCGTCTGTAACTGTAATAGAAGAATGGGGATGGTGTATTTTACTCCATACCAGAACTAAGCACGAAGCAGACCTCTAGCACAAAAATGTTTTAGCTCAAACAACTCGAGTCTAGAAAGCCAAAAGGTGACTACAAAAGAGAGGCCATTATTGGAGACTTTGCTGTGTAAACACAATGAACAATAAGAAAGTAGCTTGTGTTCTTAAAAAATACTAGATTTTCCCCCAAAACAACTATGAAATTCATGTTAAATCCTGTTAATTTACCAAATACCGTGACAGATTAAAACACATACTAAAACCCCACTACCTATCAAATAGAAAGGCAAAGAGTTCATATGAGCTTGACTTGCCCTTCTTCAAACATGAGTTCTTACTCTCACCTCTGATGATGCTGATTACCATTAAAATACAAGACAGAGAGGCAACAAACAACTACTGCAACTTCTCTATCGTTTTTGTTCCGCTGTTTTGCTTAACCAGAGCCTACACTCAGTAATTCTTTTTTTCCCCTCCAAGATTAGATTGTGTTTACAAAAATTTTAACAAGAATCAAACTGCCCAACCCTGTTCAGAATACGAAACAGGAGTCTAAGCCCAATGTTTATCAATAAATCTTTTAAACTGCACACACAGTTGTCTGTTTTGATACATGATTCTGACCAAAAGTCACTAAAGGATTTTTTTTTACCTCTGATTTTGTGAAATCAAAGTCTCCAACGATTCCTTGTTTTCGATTCACAGCAAAAACATTATTTCCATGCAGAGATCCATGTACCAGATTAGCTCCATGCAATGTTTGTAGACCTTGGGCCACTCCTTTCATCACTTTTAATGCTTCCTAATGATTTAATTTGGGTGTTTATTACAAAGACAGAAAAGGAAAAAACAAAGCACGATATCAAGGAAGTTTCTATCCAGAACTAAGACTTTTTTTTAAGCCTTGTACACATTCAAATTTCATGCCTATTCCATTTCATTCATAGAATCATAGAATGGTTTAGGTTGGAAAGGACCTTTAAGATCATTGAGTTCCAACCTCCCTACCATACACAGGGCCACCTCCCACTAGACCAGGTTGCCCAAGGCCACATCCAGCCTGGCCTTGAACACCTCCAGGGATGGGGCCTCAACAACTTCTCTGGGCAACCTGTTCCAGCACCTTACCGCCCTTAAAGTGAAAAACTTCTTCCTAATGTTTAATCTAAACCTGCCCTCTTCCAGTTCGAAGCCATTCCCCCTCATCCTATCGCTACATGCCCTAGTAAAAAGTCCTTCCCCAGCCCTTTAGGTACTGGAGGCTGCAGTAAGGTCTCCCTGGAGCCTTCTCTTCTCCAGGCTGAACAGCCCCAGCTCTCTCAGTATTGGTTAATTCCCAGGAAGATTATTATGACTTGCACAGCCAGGCAGGAAAAAAAAAAAAAAAAAAAATGCAGTCACCAATTAACAAATCACTAACATGAAAAAATACGGTGGCAAAAAAAAAAAAACAACCCAAAAACCATCCAACTTAGACCTTATAAAGTAGGTGCTTCTGTTTGCTGACTTGGACCAAGTCATCAAACGGAACTAGAGAAAAGACCACATTGGCTTCTAGCTACTGCTTCTTTGAGAAGGGATGACTATCCAAACAGCCTATACACTGTGTGGGGAGGAGGGAAAGAAAAAGGAGGGGGATGAATTGAGGAAGGAGAGGGAAAAAAAAAAAAAAATTACACATACGAGAGTCCTCTAAAACTTCAATACAGAAATGCCTGCCACCGAACATGTAGTATCACAGAATCACAGAATCGTGAGGGTTGGAAGGGACCTCTGGAGATCATCTAGTCCAACCCCCCATATGTTGAACTCCGGTACTTTTAAAATGTACTAGTAATATAGCTGAGGCATTAATTTCAGTAAAAGAAAAGTGTCTCTAAGCAAAATATCTTTTAGAAAGTTATAAACTACTGCCTGACCAATGCTAAGAATGCCAGTCAAGCTATCCTGTGCAACTCTGTACAGTCACTATCAACTACCAGAGGAAGTACGCTGGTGAAACACTATCAGCACCATAAGATACAGCAAAACAGTGAGAGTTCAGTTCAAAAACATACAAAATCAAATGCTGATAGTCTAAGTAGTTATACTTACTTCTAAAGTTAAAGGTGTATCAGCCTGTAAAGCTCCCAGACTTGCTCCTGGGTAGTACGGGACCATTAAATATACCAAAGGATCAGACTTCAACAACAACAAAAAAGAGAAGGAAAAATAGATTGTTTCAAATATCAGGAACATTGGGAAATTTAACATGCGCTAGATGTGTGACAAATCAATTCATTATGTTTAATAAGTGGACCGTTTATCTAAACTCAGAAATACATTTTTTTTTTTTATTCGATGCTCCAACTTAAGATATGTTAAAGCTTAAAAAAGGTGCAACTGCAAGTCTTTCAGCTTAAACCAGAAATCATCAATTTGAATCTTGCCTTGCAGAAAAGAAGAAACAACAATTGTAATAATCCAGATTTCTCCTTCCGCTGATCCCAGGCTCTGTGATATTTGGCAACTCTTTCTATCACTTTGGCTTCTGAGCTTACATCTACAGAGTATCCCTTAAAAACAAAACAGATAGGCAAGCTATTACTCCTAATACCTGCAACATTATTGAATTAAACTTTTTTTTTTAATTAAAGAAATGCATATTGTTAGATACCATCAAATAACTTCCTTTTCCACTTAACATAAAACTCATTTCCAACTGTCATAGACTGTTCCCATATTTTCTTATTAACTCTTAGAAAGTCTGTACCATCAAAACAGGGAGTATGTCTCTAATTTGAAATTTAAATAAGCCAAGTCAAAAGGAAGAATATTTACAACTATGCCTCTCATAATACTACATCCTCCGGTTTCCCAGTCACTAGCAGATTGGTAGAGAAGCAGAACAAGGGAAAAGCAGCAGTTCTTGACATTTCTCAGTGAAATGATCAGGAAGACAAAACAGCATCTGCAAAGAGACAGGACTAATGAACAGGAAAAAAGGCCCACCAGATACCAGAAAGAACAGACAGTAAAGGGGAATCACTGTTCACTACAGCAGTCCTCAAAAGAAGTGAAAAAAAAATCAGTAAGCAATATAGAAGCAATCCAGAAGGAAAACAATGCTTCCTGTTCTACAGACCCTGACAAAAAAATCTGTCATCAGAAAAAGGGCTGTTAAACACAAGGATATGAAAGGAACAGCAGAGTTCATTCAGAATCAACACGTTAACAAGCCAAGGCCTCACCTGCAGCACTGAAAGCCAATGCCAACATTACCTTTAGAAGAACCTTCCGGCCCTGAATTTCTGAACACACTAAAGGTCGCTTCGTGCTCAGTTCCTTCATGGGCTCAGCATCCAAAAGGTCTCGCTCCAGGCTGTGTGTCAAAAGTCCACCAGAGTTCTGAAGCACATGCACACGCAGATATCCAGGGTAAGCACACAGCATTTAACAGCTGGTAAGATTCAGAGGCTTTGACCACCCCTTGTCTTCCTCAAGCAAATTAACAAAGCTCAAAACCAGTTGGGACATGTTAAAAAGTTACAGCATCTATTACCAAGAGGCTGGCCATGATGAGGCAGCTAATGAAATGCCTTCCTTGAACATCCCCCAGAAGAGGGGGAGAAGGAGGAAGACCACAAACAATGCTAAGGATATATGACCCCCAAATGGACAGAGACTGTTCAGAGCATGTTGGTGCAGAGCCTCGATAGTGCCCAAAACAGTAACTGACAGTGCATTTGGACACAATCTCTGCTTACCATGTAGTTTAGAATTCCTGCTTCTGGATAAAGAAGTGGTAACTCAGGGAACCATTTCTGTACCAAATATGTAAGCTTCTCCTAAACGAAGGAAACAAAGCCCACAGATTCAGGTCACTAGTTTCTGACATATATAAATATACACTGACATTTGCAATACATACCCAGAACATTCAAATGTACATTGACCATGACTGTACCTCCTTCAACATCAAAGTTAGGCTGCCATTTGCTTTTTTTTTTTTTTAAAAAAAAAAAAAGTAAAAAGAAAAACGAACACGCACAACCACACACAACATGAATACAGCAGATCAATATGGACAGATTTTTGAAAGCTCTGAGGGTGGGTAGTGTTAAGGCCCCAAACAGCTCATGCACTACCATGGAAAACATTTCATCTTTTCTACAAGAGGCTTTAGTAGGCCTAAACAAAGGAAAACAACTTCACTATGGGTAAGAGGAGGAAGACAGAAATCAAGCAGTAACACAGACCAGGCCAGCATCTCATGCATCTCCAGACCCCACACAGCTGTAATGTAACTATTATACATAAATGCAACATCTGCAGAGGTAGGTGTATCACCACCACAAATCCTAGTGCCCTTATACTCACTCACAAGGCAATGGTTTCTGATTCTTTCTTCCATATAGAGGACTTGGAGAAAGGGTCATCTCCTTGACTTCAGAATAAAAGCCTGTTTTAACCTAGTCATAAGGAAACAGTTCCCCTTCTTGCAAGAAATTTCAGCAACTGAGCTTACACTGTCACCTACAGTTCTTCCAGGTTGAGAACTACAGCTCACATTTTTTTCTCACCTCACCCCCTCACGGAAGGAACTGAAATGCAGATGTGCATCATACAGGTTTGTTTTAGTTGCACAAGTAGTTTAATACTTACATATTCTTCTTTTTCCTTGGCTATTTCCTGAAGAACCCTATTTCGCAGTTGAGCTATTTCCTCTTTTATTCCTGTCATTTCAAACTCACTGTAATCATCAGACTGCATTAGGAATAATAAAGTTAGTGTATAATTCTCATTCTGCTAATACACCAAACAAGAGTAACCTACTATATCAGGATTAAAATACAGCTTCCATATCACAGTTCTAGAGTTGAACATATTTTCAAATCCATATTTTACTCAGCCTCCTTCCCAGAAACCCAAGAGAATCCCATAAAACCTAATCACCAAGAAAGGTGTTCCCTTTATTTCTGTGACAGTCCAAATATTCCAGACCTTTGCCTACTTGTTTCCTATGTCAAATAGCTTTTTTTTTTTTAAATGAGCTGATCACATATAATCACAACAGCAACATCATTCATCTACCAGCAATGTCAAGTTCCATGATTCACTCGCTTTTTTCTTCTAAGAGGCATCTTCCTCATCTCATCTCATTATTCAAGAATCCTTTTCCCAATGGGTTTTATTAGTGTGCCTCATTTTAAATCCCTCTTGGAAGTTTACTGCCCCTTTACAATGCTTAGAGAGACACATGCAGGTTCTTTTTTCCTTAAGCGTCACCAGAATAATTAAATGTGCTACCAAACAGCACTGAAGCTGGGGTAATATTTACATTGTTTGGACTTCTCTGAGGGGTAGCGGGGAACCCTGAGAACTAGAAGAGACAGTGACTCCTGTCACCAAAGGGGAGGTACACGCATTATTAACAAAGTAAAAACTTAAAGTAATCACACAACCAGCACAGTAAAAAGAGCTGGACAAAACTGTTAATGCTGTGAACAGTGATCGTCACCAGAGGTATTTAGTTAAAAGCACAGTGCCATGGCTGGGGACTGAAACAGAAAAGTGGCCACGTACCAACTTTTTTTTTTTTTTTCTTTTTCAAACTCATTCAGGCTTGGTCTCGGGAGCCTGTAAAACTTCCACAGTTAAAGGCAAAATTTAGGTCAGAAAACACAAACTGTTCTATATAGTTATCACTTACTCGGAATAGACAGAATTAGTGTTTCTAAGCCAATTTTAAAAACAGACAAAACCACCAACACTAACATTTTCATACCTCCTCAAAGTTGTTCTTTTCAACCAGCTTCCACCTTAACTGGGCCTTTAAGCTTTTCACAGTTTTCTTAATTGATAATAGGCTGTTAAGATTGGGTCTTCTATTCAGCCATTCCTCAGCCTGTTTTTTGAACTAGGAGGAAAAGGGAAAAAAAAATAAAAAAAAAATAAATCAGGTGTTCAAGCATTCTGTTTTAATCTGTTTTAGTCCAGTACATTAGAGAAACTGCCTGAAGCTTATTTGAATTCAGCTTTTCAGGATCTTTCCCCACAGAAGAAGAGGTTTATTGTGTTTCATTTTAATTACATTAACAACCTTCTGGAAAATCAACATTCTACTTAAAGCTCAATCCTCTTAAGTTATATACTGCTTGTAATGAATCCAGAGATTCCAGCTTCTACTGCTTTATTTTTTCAAAAAGCGTCTTTGTATTTAACCAAAATGAAGACTTGGCTGAGTTAATGCACAACTGCAATTCTCACGCTTTAACCCAAAGCTTTAACCCAACCAATCTCCCATCACCAATACACTCCTAGAATTTCCTTACAAAGAGATAAGGGGACATCTTTCAAAAAGAAATTCTTTCAGAAAGAGTTACTAGTATAGATCATTGTGACAGAAATAAATAAGGTGAGAACTCACCTCAACACTGGCCAAGTATCTGTTCTGTATGACAGCGATCATACTTTGCTCCTGACGAACGTTATACATAACTTTATTGTAAGCACTCATAATTATTCCCTTCTCTGCTTCATCAGGCTCCTGGATTGAATCACACAGAGGGAGATTAAAGATTGAGAGTCATTCCTCATTTATACACACCAACATTTAAGATGTAAAACCTTTACTGAGAAATCCCATTGTTAATGGAAAAAATAATTTCTCAGATCTTTCACTCTCTTCTTAAAGAGATTCTAAAAGGGAAGTTAGCAAGCTAACAATTCATCCAACAGTTTCAATAGAATAAAACTGATTGGCACTTCTCTGTGGAAGACCAATTTCATATTCCATATACTATGAAAGAAATTTTTTTAAGGACAGCACGGTTAAATAGATATAAAGGGTATGAAGCATTAAAGCATGCAACCATTCTTCTAAAAGAGAGTCACTGGTTCTATCACAAAGAGTAGCCACAAGCAGACTAAACTACTGGTTGGTTGTTAGTATGATGTTACATTAGAGGACAGGTTCAACTTTTGCTGACATGACCATTCTCTGGCACAGTAGAAACCCTCATCGCAGAGACAATGCAAGTACCTCAAAGAATTAGCAAAAGAGAATGGAGGAAATACTCACCAGAAAAGGTAAATAACTGGGGAAAAGGCTAACACAAGCACAGAAAAATATTACCAGTAAGACAAGAACATCTGTCCCATGCAAAATTAAAGTGATGAAAAACTCACCTCTTAGACTGGAAAAAGTAAATTTATCCATACACATTCACCCAAAGAGGTAACCCCATTATTTTAAACAGAAACTTACTTTTCATCACCTGTATTTTCAACACAAGCATCAAAACTCAGTACAGCTCAAAGAAAGCTTCTCTGCACAAAGAGAGGGAAGAGCCAGTTTTCCCAGTATTTCTTAGTTAAGCCAGTCATACATACAGCTAAGCTCCTGTAACCCAAAGCTATCCTCCGTCTGTTGCCTGGAAAACATACTATCTTCTGCCTGGGGAACAACCTGGGTGACTTTAACTATTTCCACAAAAAAAAAGATGCTGCCTTGTAGCAACGAACTCATCTGACAACATTAAGAAAAGCTTTAAACTGAAATCAAATATACAGAAGTCATGACACAGTAGGCATGATTAGAACTCACATTTAAGTCAGTATCCAGTTCTTCACAAATAGCCAACTCAACCTTTTTGAGAATTTCATCCGCATTGCCAATTACTTTCTCTAAATCTGAAGATGCTTCTGACATCAGGTCAAAACACTTCAAAGAGAAAAAAAAAATAAGTAGCCTTGGAATTGAAAGTAAGAAGTTAGCAAGCAGACAGCAAAAACAAGCAAGAAATAAAGAGTTATAGTACTACTGGAAATCTAATCAGGATTTGTGTCAGATCTCACTTTTAACTGCCTCCCTCTTGAGCAATATAGCAATTTCTAGAGCTAAGAGAGTTAAGATTCACCAGGCAAGAAGAGTTGATTCTTGTCTTGATTGGGTTTTGTTTTACTAATCTCATTTTTATTTTTACCAAAAATTAAAACAGTAAGAAACCCAATCCTTCTCCTATTGAGTTTTATGTCAAAAATCAAGATGTGTGCTGCCCACACAGTGATACACAAGATGCTCAATATGGCCATTTCACTATCGAGTGGGCTTTCCATTCCTATATAGTACTACCTGAAATAAAGACACATCTTGGCATCCATTTCACAGTTTATCAAGTGCGAAATAAGGTTAAAGATTTCATCAGGAAATACTAAGTGTTTTCACAGAAGTCAGAAATAACTTAGCTTCAAGATATAAGATACAGAAGGTGCCTGAGAAAAATCGGTAAGATCGGCTTATCATTACATTGAATATTGTCTTCAACAATGTTTTGTTACTCATATCTGCAGAAAAAGAGATATTGCATTGGCAACCAGAACTAAAATGAAAATATGGTCCTGTATTTAACATGCAAGATACACAGTCGTACTAGAAACCTGTAAACTTCACCTTGTCCATTTACCTATCAAGCACATATTTTCACAATTTTTAGTGGAATGTATTTTATTGCCTTAACCTTAAAGGAACTAAAAAGAAAAACTTCAACATTGCCATTTCAAACAGTATGTTGCTCCCCAAAGCCTGGAGTTGCATACTCAAAAAAAGCTGCCTAGTCTTTGAAAATTTCCTTGTCTGTCATTGACCAATTTCCTATTGTAGATTCTGATCAATGGTACACGAGATTAATTTGGATTCAGAAGAGAAGAAGAAGAATACCTATTTAAAATACGGGGAGGGAAAACATTTCAAAGAAGCATTTGCTCTACACAATTGCTCACACTTTTTTTAAAAAGGAGCTAGAAGTTAACCTGCAACAGAATAACTGCATATCAAAAACTGAAATTTAATTTCATTCAGATAGATAAATGAAAATTTCTTCCTTGGTCTACCTACCAGTGCTTTGGCTACCCATGCCAAAAGTCTGTACATTTCCTCTGTCTCTGAACTGTTTGTGGAAAAGTTCAGATTTGAAGCAGTTAAATCAAAGTTCATGACTACACTAACAAACTGTAGTCACTTTCATATATGCAGAATAGCACTCTGAATTGCACCCAGCAATTACAGAAACCCACCTGCAGATTTGTTTGCCCCCTCTAATAACTGACATGATTATAAACATCTGCAAGTAATTATATTAATTAACATTATACTGCACATGACATGCACCAAGCCTACACTGATGCTCAACAGCATTTACTGTCAGGTCAGGGAACGCTATTATTCATAACAGCGTCTGGACACAGTAAATGCTCTGGGTACTGTGAAACCCAGGGGCAGAAAACCTATTCACTATGAAAGCACACGACCCTTGTGGATGATGTACGATTCACATGGGCAGGAAGGTTACGCTGACACAAACTCAGAACATTTACACACGAGTGCAACAAGGAGATCAAGGAAGCTGGGCCCGCAAGAATGGAGAGCGAGCAGCTTACAGTCTTCTTACAGGGAAGATTAAGAGCCCTAAACTGAGCGAGAACATAGATACTAAGCACAGAGACAGGAAAGCCAAAGTTACCTCCCTACTTTGTGCTTTCTTTACGAGCAGCACTCAATGGATGGTAACCGACTTCTACCATCCATCTCCTTTTAAGACAAATAACAAGCACTCAACTTCAATGCTCCAAACCTCCTACTACTTAGACTGAGACACAGCATCAGAATAGTAGTACAGAAAATACTGCAGGACATGCAAATAGAAGTGGACAATTTATTTGCATAAATTCTCCACACCCAGCATTTCAATGAGGGGAAAAAAAAAAATTCTATTATACATTTGTCTACAACCTATACCTAGATCACGTCAAGTCAGATCGGCTGCTTCTTTGCAGTGATCTTTCATAATTTCTTTCAGCAGCATTTATGAACTAGAACCTTCCAAAATGTGAAGTCCTCTATCCAAAGGGTAGTTGAAAGGACTAATTAAAGCATTTCAGTCACACGAGCACACCCATACAAAAGTTACACTTGCATAACAGTACTGATCTTTATACAAAAGATGTCCTTTCATCAGAAAGCATAAACTCTGTCTTATCGCAAAGGTACCCTAAGAACAAAGCTAAATCAACACTTCGTTCCTCAACACATTACCTTTCCCTCTACACTGAGGCACTGTCATTTGGTGCCACTGCTCATATGCACAATCGCCCTGCCACAGGTAGTTGTCCCTACTAATGTTTACTCCTCACAAGCCCAGTTAAACAGTGTCATACTTCACCTTTTTCACCAACAGAAAAGATTGACTGTTCACCTTACCTTTAATATGCCACTGAACCAGTCAGCAAAAATTTGCACAGCTGTGTCTGTATCATTTCTGATGGAAATTAATTTCTTCATTTTCAGACTCTTCCAGGTAAAGAACTGTTGAAATACCTCCTCAGAGTCATCCGCTTCAGAGCCTTGACCATACACCATCTCCAGAGAAGCAGACAGTTCCTGTGCATGAAGTGAATCAAACAAAAACAGGTTTGCAAACCAGAAGAATTTTCTGACAGTATACTACCCATAAAAATCAAGATATTTAACAAAGAAAAAGTTAGCACTACCTGCTGGCATAAAATTATTTCTACTACAAAGGCCTCTTTCTATATCCAGTGAAGTATATTTTATATTCCACTTTCCTCTCAGATCTCGTGGCAGTATGTCTACCAGAAAATGTAATGCAGAAAAGGATCTCACACAGAGATCATAAAGTCTGATTTTTCCCTTCAAAATATGGAAGGAAAAGACACCACAAAACCCTTACCAGCTTATAAGAAGTAATTTATATTCTATTTTCTTCTTCCCTATGGATTGGACTTTAAAGTTATACTCATCAGGATAAAGAGCAAAGTGGGGTTCAATTTATAAATGATCCTCATAGAATAGCTCAAATTCAGAAAACAAAGTGAACTTGTACTAAGAAACAAGGTGAGCAGCCAGACACTCAAGGAATGCTTCTGAACTGATCCCTCCCATCAAAAGTCACTACTCAAATCTCTTCTGATGCACCGTCCTCATCACGTTGATTCCTAAATGGAACAGCAATTACCTGTGTGTCTGACGCCCAAAGGCCCTCTGAAACCAGTTTTACAGTCTGGAAACTTCTATTTCCATCTAAAAGCCAAGTATTCTGCAAGTATATGAAGTACAGGGTCCACCTTCTTTTGACTTGTATTAGAAAACAAACTGAAGTGCTACAGGTAAGGGAAAAGCATCAAGGCTAAAGCCCAGGGCAAACAGAAACCACTTTTAAATAAAGGGCCACTTGTCAAACGACCTAAAGAACAAGCAAGGTCAGGAAGGAATGTATCAATTACCAGTGGACACAACATCCTGACAGAAAGCAGCCTTCCTTGCACCTGGGTGGAAAGTCCCATGCTGAAAAATACATGAGAGCTACATTGATGTTTGCAGGCAATTTGCTGTAGTTTGAAAGAGCAAATTCTCCCTAAACAGTGGGATATGACTGAATGAACCTGTGTTTTTGTAATGAATAGCATCCTTCAGCTTTCAAAATCCATCATTTTACTTACCCACATCACTCCAAACAAGATGACTAAAGAAACCCTGCGAAAGGCTGCTGACAGTTTGCTTGTGCATAGCATTTCACATTTTCTCTTTTCTCAGATCTCAGAACATTTGAGTTAAGTACCACAGACTTTCCCCAAACAACACCTAGATCATGTGGATGCAGAAAAACACCAAAACACTTCTCTCCTTCCTCCCCTTAAGAGAAGTTTTTTATCTTTGTCAGGAGCCTTTCAGACACTTGAAACAGGTGACACGAGCAACCAAATGTAACTTAAAGTAAAACAGACTGTCTGACACTAACACCACAGGCCAGCAACGAACTCGCCTTGCTGAGGACTGCAGGTACCGCGGAGGTGAAGAAGTGAGCTTGACCAATTTTCTAGAACTACACACGATGGCGCCACGACCAGGCCCCAGCTTTACAGATGCAATACAGCAGAAGTTCAAATTGGGGCAATAAGGATAAGAATTTCCTCACATAACAACTAACTAAATACATCACTCAAGTGCACAACAGATTTTTCTCATGTTCTTTTTTTGAACAGCTCAATTTTAATACGCCAGGATACACACAGATAGAAAATGGCACAGCAAGGGAGAAGCCAGGTTCAAATGGAACAGTCTGATGGAGAGAGGAAAAAAAAAATCAGCCTGTCTAACAGCAGCCAAAAGTGGGTAATAGAACTGAGAAAAGTGCTCAGTAACAGTTTCATAGTCAATACCACGTCCTGTTCACAAAAATAGCAGCGCTAGTTACACCAGAAGAGTATCTGCATACATGCCATCAGACTGTCCTCAAGGAAAAAATCCTTAAGTTATATCCTATTTCTACCCATGTATTTTTCACACTAAACACACTTCCCTGAAGCATTAGCAACTTCACCAGCATATGGATACAGAAGAAGGCTCCAGAAGGCTAACAAGTTACTGTATGAGGACAGCTCAGTGGTCTACATGACTACTACACACGATGCAAGGGGCAGAGGAAACATGCTTATAGACAGCTAACACAGAACAGCTGACAACTGCTAGGATCACACCCTGGCTTGCTTTAGAATGACTTATTTGTATGCCCACACTCTCGGACTTCCTCTTAACCAATGCAGTATTATCACTTGGAAAGCATGGAGCTCACCAACTGTTTATTTTGGTCCTAGCCAGTTGGACTCAGCTGTGGCAGAAGCTGCTTGAATTTGTCTGTACCTCAGGTCAACAACAGTTCTCACTGGAAGGTATAAAACATAAGTCAAAAGAGATGTGGGATGCAGAAGAGAGGTTGCAATACACAGCCTCAGAGAGAGGGGCATAAGCTACCAAGCTCCTGTTTTTCTGAGACACACTGGAAAAATAACTTGTTTCTCTATAACAGCACAGCACGACCTCTTCAGCTCTACGAAATTGCAACCAAGGTTCTCATCAATATTTGGTAAAAACTTATTTCTGTTTTCCTACTTAGGAAAACTATTTTGATCTTCTAGCTCATAACACAAGAAAGGACCATCAACACAGTTAAGCTAAAGCACAAAATTCACTTAACGCATCTAGCACCATTTCAGTACCCCTTCAAATATTTTCAAAAAAAATACTAAAATGTCACTGCAGTACAATCATCCAGAAGGTGCTTAATGCCTACCACCTAGTGGATGAGCACAGTATAACCTTTAAACATGCACCAAAAAAAACCCCAACCACAAAACAGAAAACCCCCATACAACTACACACCGTAACTTTCCTCTATCTGAAGGTGCAGGATCCACACAGAGCCTCCAGTGATAGAAAGCCATGAAATGCTACCCTTCTAATATCTTTTCTAATCAGACACCAATCTGTGTATCAGACTAGAACCAAAAAAATAAGTGTATCAAAACATTTTTTGAATGGTATTGAAAAATAATTTCACTAGAAATGGAGTAATTAATTCCATGAAAATTAAAATGCTTTGATTTACTAATGCTGTTCCAATCTTATACAAACTTACGTGCAGCCTGTAATCATGGTGATTTTTCAGAAGAACCCAATCTCATACATCTCTAGAATCTGTACAGACAAGATGTCAAACTATTGCCAACCTTTTCCCCCTCTCCACACATACTTGCACAGTCAAAACAAAACCAAGTAGTATTTCTGAAGTTAAAAAGAAGAAAAGACACTGTTTTCTAATAGCAAAGGACAGAAACACCAGCTTGGTGTTTCTATTGGTAAAGTCCTCTTCAAAAGTTCTTACTGCCTCTACAGAGGCTCTTTCCC